AAACAGTTATATTTAATTTAAACACATTAACAAATTAATTATTTAAAATCGTTTTTGTATTAACTTAAGTTGAGCATATAATGAACTGTAGAAAAAAATTAGTAAACTGCTGACACAATGGTATCGTAATCAACCAACTAGAATTGTTCCTAGAGAAGATACAGAATCCTAACTAAACTGATAGGAATTAAGTCATTTGGCATAGTACTAACAGATAAATAAATGAATTACTGACTGTACAATATTAATTTATAGTGTAAAAGCAATTGGATAGATTTGAAGGAGAATATAGAATGAGGTTAATTTGGTGTTCGTAATCGAATGGTTATAGTTATCTCGTGTATGTAAACCAGAACATTTGCATATACAGTTACTGCTCAATCAATGTACCAGTGAAATACATAAGATAAAGCCGGCAAAAGTCAACTAACTAATCACGGTATTCAGCTTAGTCCTACATGGTGGATATCATATCTTGAATGGGTTAGTGATAGTGTGTGGACAAAGGTATGAGCATTCACGAGATTGTATAATTTCCATGGTGCTTAGCATTATGAAATAGTAAATCTAAACATAAGGTTTTCTCCCTAATGACTGTAAATATTTTATATAATGTTTACACTGAATAAAGGTTTTAATTTCTCTGTATTTAACCAGGATAACAAACATTGGTTTATTTTACTAAACGATCGTTCAAAAATAACGGAATGTGAATTATTATTGTGTTCGAATAAAAATCTCGGGTATAAACACAAGTTCGACCCACTAAATAAATCTTTCTATTTATGGTAAGATTGTGTTTTTTAGAAATTAGATCAACCGTACATCATTTAAATAAGTAATGATTCAAAAGTTATCAATACATTTTGTAAAATATTCTCTGATTTACTAGAAATTCCCTGAGTTTTCCTTTTTATTATTACATACCACTTATATTATTTACCGATCATTGTTTTAGTCAGTTTTGTGAATCAGGCTTTCTGTAAAATACATGTCACTGGTATTTGCCTTGCTGTTTGATACGATCATATAGACTATGTGCATATATGTGTTCAAAAGACTGTAATGCATAGTTGATTCATGAAGTTACCAACAACTAGTATTTATTGTATACATAATTAGATCATTTTTTATTCTAGCTTAACTCGTTAGGCAAGCGCAGGATTCAGAATATCACCTTTATTTATTTAAAGGCTAATGATATGACCCAGACCCCTAACTTAAAGAAAGTGGATTACCAGTCGAACCTGGAGTGAAATAACTATCTACTGATTGGGATGTTCATAATGGCAATAAGCAGATGATGTTTGACCATGTAACTTGGGAGCAATGAAAACGAGGAAGAAAACCTTTCCACTCTCCGTTAGTCGTTTTATCAATGAATGCCTCACCTGTCATTTTAAATATCTTCTATGTTTTTTCACATTGTTTTGTTTCGTAATTTGAAACATTTGTCTACCGCAACTAATATCAATTCCGTGTAGTTTTGTTTGCACGAACTAAGCACATAAATCATTCTATTTCAGTTGTATAATTGTTGTCCACTGGTGTGCATGAAAACTTTATACGTAATTATAAAACTTGCACATTACTTTAAGATTTTTCTATGCTTCGCCTTAAAACGAATTAGCGTAGCGAATTCTCATTAGTATCTGTCATATTAAAAAAATCCTTTATCCACGTCTATGTATACTATAACGTGTGTGTTTGAAGTGGCACAACTTTTAATGTATGTGGAATGTATCTTACAGTAGAATCCAGGATTTGTATCTAGAATTTGAAGGTCGAGTGCTAACGTTCGCTCTAAGGTAGGAATTCATTACCTGTCTATTTAAAATTAAGAGCCTTATGCTACAAGCTATTATCCTCAGATATCTGCCTTTTTTTCGATGGGTGTAAAACTAATAATATTGGTCATTAACTTACTGCTGTAAATATACATATAGATGTGCCAGAGCTACAGTAAGTAAAAACAGCCGGAAGCAAAACTGAAGTGTACAACTCTATGGGTTGAGAAGTTCGTTGTGATCTCATGAATCTTAGACTTGAAAGGCCAAAAAACTTTTGAGACTCTGATTTACGATTGGCATTACCTAAATAAAACTAATACATGACGATATATACAACTAAATTTTAAAAGTATATACTGATGAAATCATATTTCGATCTAGACAGTTGTGGTTTACTGTCATATCGACAACACTTAACTCTAATCACGTAAATATTTTGAGACCTCTTTGTCCAACTTATGTACGGATATATAACTTGAAAAAAGATGTTTAAAGACAAACAAACTAAAATTTAGTCGAACAAGTTTTAGATTTATTGTTATCATGGACATATTGGACTTGGTTTTTATAGTCTATTCAGAAATTTTATACTGTTTTTAAAAGGGCTCTTGAAGTATTTATTATGAGTAATTTTACATATATTTGAAAAAGTTTTATAAAGCAAAAACACTTTACTTTCACTAACGTCCGAAAATAATCTCGTCGTCAACAATAAGAAATAAGTATTTTTACTCACTCCTTTCCCTATCCTCTTCTTAATCTCGAACATTTTTAATATATGAGGTTCTATCTCAGCATTCATCCCCACGCACTCAATCTGCGCGGCGATTGCAGTACCAACCAACAAATATTGCGCGGATGATAATCAACAAATATGCACAAACAGTTAACAAATGAAGATATATGCAAAGTTAGTGTAAATGTATTTGTACCTTGTTGAGGCTTAAAGGTAAGTTTACTGTTACTGCAAAACATAGATGACATCTTGCATGTAGCGTACAATAGCGATATTTTACCTGAAATCCATTTATCTTTATCAAAACATCACACTGCATTAAGTGACTTTAACCTACTAGACAAAAAGTGAATGAGAATTATAGACATGAAATGTCAGTCTAAGACTGACTTTACTGCCCTTCAGCCAAAAATCTACTACAAATTTTGACATTTTCTCTTCCTCATTTCTTGCAGTTAGTGTGAATATTTGCTTGGTAATGCCTCAAACTATACGTACTATCAAGCTATCTAACTGAGTTCTCATTCGGGACGATAGTATGATTTCTGTGAACTTTACAATTTTATGATTGGGCTCATCGTTATAGTGGCACAGATAAGTGTACTAGGTCATTATTATACATATCCACTGAAGCGGCGGTGTGCACTATTTCACTAATCTTCGACTGGTTAAATTTTAATAATGAGTATGGCCCGTGGAAGAAAAATGAGCTGTTTTCAAGTGATTCTTCATGGTCGAGTTCATCTGTAGTTGCGTTGGGTCTTAACTTTACAATCCCGAAAGCTGAACACGAGATAAATAGGAAAACAGATATTCAACATTGAACGCGGAGAGAAAATCAGCATTAGGGAAGGCGAGAAGAATTAGTGGGATTCAGTCGGCATGACTCAGCCTTGCCAGCGTGTTTATTATGTATAACTTGTCTTTGCTCACATTAAATTTATCGCTCTATCTCCAGCCTGAACGTGTTCTTTAGAAACTTCAGACATGTTGTAACCTGTCACTATACGACTAGTCAGTGTACACAATGATGTGACGTCCACATAAGATCATATAGATTAGGGAGCCACATCACGACACATCTACGCGCGCTACGGACTGGACGTTACTTTCAGGCCGAGGTTTTTAGTTTTATTTTTCTAGGATTCTCGCAGAGCTGGATGAATTATTTTTTCTTGGAATTATAGAAGTTAACTCTATTCTTGAATATTAACATATAAACTGTGAATTTCATGCCATATGATAAGTTCTGAGTTTAACTTGCGGTATTTATGACCATATTCATACAATAATTTATAATAATCTAATTACATATATTCATTTTGACTATACGATCAAACTATACTCTGGCACTTTGAAACCATATATAATCATATTTGACGAAGAGTTGTATTTCATATCTGTATTCTATTTCTTAATGAATATATGGTTATATCGTATTTGAATACTTTAACCCACGTACTTTATGTATCTACAGGATCTATTCAAACCTCTACCTAATATCAAGAAATATATATAACCGTGTATGTTAAAGGACTGTATTCACTATTTTATGAACTATCATTTAAATCGTATTTGTATACTATAAATCATTTAATTTTCGAAGCTACCTGTCCAACTCGGTAAGTCTGTCATAGTTTTTTTTTTGACAGTATTTTTTTTTTCAAAAAAGCTGTTTCATATATTTGTTCAAGAAGCAACATAATAATCTTAGACGGTAATAATCTTCTAAACTACTTGTCTCTGCACCTCCCAATTTTCACTAATACGGACTTTCAGTTTATATATGTATCACGTACCGTACTTTTTTGATTGTTTGTTACTAATTATTGACATTTCTAAATTACTTTACCATATAAGGCTATCTTTCATGTCATATGTGTTAAAATTTATACAACTTGCTCCTTTATATTCTATCTTGCCTCCACACAGATACTGACATAAATACTTCATCTCCACTACTATCTTCCTGCCATTGTCATCTGTTTTTAACACCACTAATCCTCACGATACATTGACCCTTGGTTAAAACATAGATTTTGATTTTTAGACTAACTTGAGCCCTCGGAATTGATTTTTTTCACCCCTTTCTATTTCCAACATTCTGTTCAATCCACTTGCTACACGACACTTTCTTATCATGCCACAAAAGAAAATGAAGACCCCTGCTTCTAGGCGTCCAGCCAAACGTAGGAAAACGACACAATTTAACACCACTACTGACACGATTTCCAACAGTTTCAACGAGACGAGCCACTCCGTTCATCTGGAAGCAGACAAGCTTTTACCAGTTGTCTCCATTCCAGACATGTTGAAAACTCTGATGGTAAACAGTGATGATAATCGCAACTGCAAACATATGGATGCTATAAAAAAGTTGCAAGTAGACATGAACATTCTCAACCCGCTTAAATATCTCATCAACCCCAACCTCACAGAGACTCCAGATCAAATGAATGACATAAATATTTTCTTAGATCGTGTTGCATCAGAAGTATTTGAAAGAATAAGACGATCTAGTAATGCAATTGTGTTTAATATACCGGATACACATGCCCTTAAAAATATCAAATCTAGTCTGCTTAGAGCCAGCAATATGACACACGTACCATGTGTATGCACAAGATTAAAAAGAAGTCATCCTGGTATGCACTCACCGATCTTGTTCAAATTCAACTCATCTGTAGACGCCAGTGAATTTTTAAATTCCTACAATTCATTGAGACAAAAACAGATTTTCAAGGATATTAAGACTCTTCCGGATAAAACACCATGCCAGCGAAAAGCAGGAAGAGATAACTACCGACCACCAGCGTCAAACTCTCAAACGCATCGTAATCCTAATGGTCGTAAAGTTAAGTCCGATTCTAAGGGGACGTCTAGCTTAACAATTTCGCCGTCACCGAAAAACTCTTCTGAATCTCCTGAAGTTCAAAACCCAGAAGAAAGTAATCCCGATGTAGGTGGTGTCCATCCTCTTGAGAATGTTGACTTAGATTCAACCCGAAGTAGTTGTGCTGATGAAGAATGGGATAACACAACCCAAACCCCTGTTAGTGCAACACCCAGTTACAGTAACTGTGCAACGGATAACAGGAAAACTAATCATAACATCCATATAACTGACCACGCACTTAACGTTGATATATTCGAACCTCGCAAACCATCGCAAGTATGTTTAACAGTACACAATCCCCTCCAACATATGAAGAAGCCGAAATCAACCACAACCCTTGGAAATAAACGTCTTAAACACGTTACCCATACGTCAGGTATAAATAGTTATCTGAATTGTAATTGGCCACTTGGTCAAAACCATAGACCTGATAGCCTTCTTGGTCCGGCTCCCAATATGTACACTATGCCCTTATCAGATGTTAGATCCAACAGCAATGAGAAAACTTTTTTTGTAATTCCGCCGGCTTTCCTGCCGGCAACGGTAAACATATTTCACATGATAACAAAGTGGTTGAATCTATTTCCCCTCGCAACACAACTCTCACCTTAGCTAATCCTATGAGTATTCATGGAACTACCAATTGCGATTTATACTCCAACCTGCTTCACTATGATGACTCTGAGTTTCTTATTCTTTCGTTCAATGCCCGCTCTCTGTCTAATAAAATTATTCATCTTAAAACTCTTTTATTCCTTGTAAATCCAACCATTGTACTTATTACGGAAACGTGGTGTAATTCATCTATATCCGATCATTCCTTGAATGTAGATAACTACGTTTTCTTTAGAACCGATAGATGTTATGGAATAGGAGGCGGTACAATTATCTATGTTCGTTCAGACATTCAAGCGTGCAAATTTGAGGACAAATCCCTTGATGCTATAGAAGACTCCACTTGGGTTACTGTAAACTGTGGATCCCAAAATTATTTACTGGTGGGATGCATATACAGACCACCTCATGCGGATACTAAGTTTGACAGATTACTAACAAACATATTTTCCATTGCTTCGCATCAACCTCATACTTTTAAAATCATCGGAGGTGATTTTAATCTGCCAAAAATTACATGGGACTTGACTCCGGTGCCAGGTCGATATAACAAGCTAGTTGAAACATTAGAAATTTGTGGATGGGTTCAACAGGTCCGAAAACCAACCAGGGGGAATAATACACTTGATTTAATGTTCACAATCAACATAGACTCTATCTCAGTGCATACCAGTCATGAGTTTTTTATGAGTGACCACAGAGTTGTATTGAGTATTATTCACTCTTTAAACGCCATACAATTGAACTCTAAAACTTCAACGACGTACCAGAGCAGATATTTTGATCAACAAACATGGAAACGGACTGAAACTCTCATTCGATGTTTACCATGGAAAACTTATTTTACCACAAATAATGTTGACATTGCGCTTTCCAACCTATATCACAACCTGATATATTGTCTTGACTGCACTGCTCCAGTTATTGGCCGTGTGGCTTATAATGCTAATAGGGGCCAAAATACTTTTAAAAGAAAGCTGAGGAAATTAAAATACCGCTACTATGAGCAGAATGATGTGTATGCACTTCAGAGTATATTTAAATTAATCGACAGAAATGCTTCATCTAAACATAAGTATTTCATGAATATAGAAAATAAAGCTCTACGTAGTAAAAGCCCAGAATTATCAATACTTCGACTTTTTAAATCCCGTGTAAAGTCAAATTCCCTTGGCACGACCAAATTCTTCATAGTTAACGGAAGCATTGTTAACGACCCGAATACTATATGCGAACAATTCAGCAAGAACTTCTCGCAGTGCTACAAGACTAGAACTGAAAGCTCCATCATTTCATTTCCAATGCTAACATCCAGACATCTGTCGAAAATTGATTTCACACCCTCCAACATCAAGCAGGCCATAACTACCCTGAAAAAGTCTTATGATGGTGGACCTGACGGGATACCTACATCATTTGTGAAATATGGAAGTAAAGAATTTCCACTATTTTGTTTGAAACTTTTCAATCTGTCTATGGAATATGGGACCTATCCATCTGCATGGAAAACATCCCTTATCACCCCTAGATTCAAAACAGGACCACGTAGTGATATTATTAACTATAGGCCAATTAATTTGACATCCGTGCTGTCAAGAACCATGGAAAAAATCATCCACAAACAGCTACTATCATTTTTACTTTCAGCTAGTCTGATCAGCCCATCCCAACACGGGTTTATGACTAAACGCTCATGTTTCACATCGCACCTGGAGTTTTTTGATCAAATTACCCAGAGAAGAGATGTTGGTCAGTCAGTGATAATTCTTTACTTCGATTTTAGTAAAGCTTTCGACAGTGTCTCACACAAACTTCTTCTTTTAAAACTCTCTTCATTCGGCATACAGAATCCCCTTTTATCTTGGCTCAAATCTTTTTTAGAAGAACGTAGCCAAATCGTTCGCTTTGGATCTTGCTACTCTAAACCTGTAAATGTAACAAGTGGGGTTATACAAGGAAGTGTGGTTGGTCCATTGCTCTTTCTCCTTTTTATCAATGATGTGTGTTCCCTCTTTCAGTATGGTAAGCCTTTCCTTTTTGCTGATGATCTGAAAGTAGTTTATTCATTCTCTTCTCCCACGAAAGAAAGCTATATTTCTGCGGTAATCCAGGAGGAAATAAACAAGTTGTACGAATGGACTATTTCGTGGAATATGCCACTTAATGTTGACAAAAGCGGATTTATTCACATTGGTCGCTGTCTTAACTTAAATCTGACTGTACAGACACATACACTCAAACCTCTCAACACCGTTCGTGACCTGGGTTTAAGATATAGCAATAGTCTGAACTTTTCTGAACACATTATATCTCAAGTATCCAAAGCTAGAAAGCTCATCGGATTGATAATGATAAACTTCAATAATATCGAATCGAGATTGTTACTATACAGAAAATGTGTCTTGCCCATTCTTGAATATGGTATTTTAGTTTACAGTAATTGTAGACATAATGATCTGATTAGAATTGAAGGTGTTCAAAGAAAGTTCACCAAAGCTGTTCTGGGGTATTCCGATAACAAAGACTATTACCAAAGATGTCAACAACTCAACTTAGAACCTCTTTGGATCAGACGTATCAAATTAAATCTTGTCTTTATCTACCGGCTCATTAACGGTATTTCCTACTCATCGGTATCTACCCCTTCATACCTTATAATATCATCCCACAATCTACGCAATAAGGAGAATATTCTAGCGATTCCAAGAACCCACACAAACTTACGTCAGAATTTTTTCCTTATTCGCTACTCAACCATGTGGAACAGACTGCCAGTGAACCTCCGTTGCAGTGAAACTACAACCCGGTTCAAAAGTCTCCTTGACGATTTTCTTTCCGAAAGTGGATTATGTCATCTATTGAATATCAATGTATTCAATAATGATTTATACAAACAAGGTCCGTCATTTATTTAATTGCTTGAAAAGCAAAATAAAACCTTTAAATCCTTTCACGTCTATTTTGTTTTATTTCTCTTTATCTTAATATATGAAGTCTGATTATGTTCGTGTTTATCATTATTACCGTTATTAATATCATTATTAGTTCCCCGACACATTAGATATTCTTTTTGTATCTTCTTACCCTTCTAAACATATTTAACTCCAGATTGTCCTTTGAAATCAATTTTGACTTTCATAGCATCAATCTTAATTATTATTGAACAAATATTTAAACTAATATCCGGTTTCACTCTGTGTACTATTACATAAATCTAAGTGTATTCATACGAGTGCTTTAACGGATTTTTATTTTATTTTTCTAAATCGTTGGTTTCCTTCTGAGGTTGATATTCATTACACAATTATTATTCTTATCATGGATGAAACTTTTCACTAGGTGTTCACTTCTTTTCTCTCTTCTTTCCCTCTAAATAATTATTGCTCTTAAGATTACGAAGTTTTTAATTAAGACAATAACTTGTGTTTTATCTTCACTATGCATATATGACTACTCATACATATTGATATTTTATTATCTTTTTCATTTAATTGAGACTTTCATAGCATCACTCCGAACTATGACTGCACAAACATTTATATTCTAGCGTCATATCTTACTGCAATTATAAGTTATTTTTTCTTAATTATTTTTTGTTACTAATTTAACGATACACACATAGTCGTTTATTCTTGTTCTTTGTTCACAAACACGCCTATTAGACTGTTTGCGTATTTCATGTCTCCTTTATTTCTACTCCCTTATTTTCTCCATTTCCTTCTTTAAACTCAATTCAATATTCTTCTCAATTACAAAGAGCCCATTTATTATTATTAATATTCTACTATTATTATTCTCAATTTTTTATTTTATTTTTATTATTATTATTATTATTATTATTTTTTTTTTTTAAATATGGCAAGTATAATGCTAACATTATTGAAAATTGTGTATTATTGCATTTTCTGAAGAAACCCGAAATGGTTTCTTCACAACACTTATGTACCCATAAGATGTTTGTGAATAATAATAATAATAATAATAATAATAGTACTAATAACAAAGTAGGCCATAATTCAACACGTCCATATCTCTGTAGTCCAGCCATCAGACACTAAAAATTCTGTCAAGAAGCATTGAAGCTAACAATGTCGGCACCAGCAGAATACTTAATCAAATGATATTAGTGTTTGAGGTACTCTGCCTGTGTTCCGCTTTCTTTAACCATCTTTTCTTCAGCTCGTCAAATATAATCCCGCCTGCCTTTACATTACTTGTTCTCCAGGTAAATCTGAACTAAGTTGGTGATCCATGCTAAGAAGTCATTGGATTCCGAGTCTTAGATGGGAACCGGTGTAGCGGCATAGCTACACAGTGCCAGTTTAGATTTTTGTGTGTTAAGATGTTCATCATAAAAACACGTACGATCGTCTATGATAGTCATAGATCACAAATGTTCTAGCACCTCCAAACAATGTGTTAACGGAAAAATACACTGCATACGGCTCAAAAGCTTGTTCATGGAAGTTTTAACCATTACTGAAATTATTTCACCCTCACCCATCAGTTAGACTTACAAGTATACCAACTTTTTGAGATGTGCCATTGAGCGATTTCTTTTAGTTTTTTAGTACGTAAGTTTGAGATATACTAAGTCAATTGTTAGAGAAATAAGTTAATTAGAATGGCAGTGGTGTGCTAGTTAATGAGGGAATGAAGGGAGTATTTCAAGAAAAAAGTATAGTAAAATAGACTGATAAAGATATTCAGTCACATGTATACAGCTTGTTAATGATTTAGTGGCTTGGCCTTTAGCTGATTCCCAAGGCTCAGTTTGTGAATCACTCTGATAACCGTTATTAAACAAATCCCAACAGTATGTGGATTCAGAAGGAAACATGAATTATTATTGTTGGATAGCGCAGATTACAAAGTTACAAGAACATCGAACAAATGTAAGCAAAAAGGCAAGCAAGCAAATACAATGGTGAGTTCACATTTAAATCTAATCGAGCCGAAGCAAAGAGTAGCAATCAGTAAGATTCGAGAACGTATGTAGATGGGAATGTGAATGATTCATTCCACAGGAACGAGACGCTACTTGTTCAAATGCGATTTATTTAGTCGCTAGGCAAAGGATTCGTATCTTGTACATATCACAGACTAACGAATGCACTGCAAGCTAAAGTTGCTGAACGTTCGCCCTTGACAATGTAGCGGTAAATAAATGCCAAAAATCAATAGCTCTGTAAGTCTTCGATATTGGATGCTGACCACATTAGTTTTAATGAGCTCATCTAGCTGAAGGCACTCGGTCATGCATCCGCACCAGATCACGAGTGGGAACGCCGTGCTCAACATCCTCTGCAATCGCTAGCCAGATTAGATCTGACGGTCCCCGATATATTGATAGCTTATCAAATATATCTTCGAACCTCCTCGCTTCTGTCTTTCGATTTCACGTGGTGGGTACGATTCGTATCAGGTGTTACTGGTTAAAGCGTTGTCAAACTCTAAATACATGTGGCATCTTCAATACCAACCACTTGGCTCCTCTAAGTATATTTGGGTTTCATAGGTGTAGAAGCCCCTCCGGTCTATTTGAGAAATCTTTGAGTCGTTTGAACTTACTCTCGGAATATGCAAACTTTTGCAGAATAATGGGCCAAAAATGCCACATGTAGTTGGGGTTTGACAACGCCTTTGCGCGCAACACATTTATAATCGAAGTACGCCAATCAAATCAGAAGTCAAAAATAATGTGGTACAAAGATTTATTTAGAAGGCCATAGACATTTTTAGAAGCGTCTATTCTATGGTGGATGCGTAGCACAGAGTACACACTCGTGATCTGGTGTGGATACGTGCCCGAGTGTCTTCATATAGGTGAGTCCAGTAAAACTGATGTGGTCAGCATCAAATGTCGAAGAATTACAGAACAACTTACTCTGGGGATTTGTTTACTGTTACAAGGCAGTAGTGCAGATGAATCTGAGTTCTTAGCTGGTTTACATGAATTACTAGTGCTTGGGTTTGTAGGTTAGTTTCAGAAATAGTTCTAATTTTTATCAGTTATGATCATAGTCACCAGTTTATCTTCAGTTAAAAAGCACTTCCGAAAACTGAAAGATCTTATAGTAGTTGTGATCCATGACTCACAAATTGAATGTATACAGTGACGTGCCAGATGCTTACAGCCTTTAAACTATGGTGAGTAATTCGTAGAGGCTTCCGAATTCTACACTTTACTAACCTGGACCGTAAAGCAAAGTGCTTCACACAAACAGACACTTTATGTGTGCTTTTCAGTATTCTGGGACTATCAAGCTTCCAACGAGTAGATGCGAACTTAATGCCAAACCTCAATATTCCCAAAGTAGGGGGATCTAAGAGTCAAAATCGACTGCAATTATTGTAAAAAGCGAGGTGATCTAGTGTTGTTGATCAGTATTTCAAATAATGACTTGTGTACTTCAAAGTCACACATTCCGTTACATTTAAAAATAATCATGTCCGGCCACACCATATAATTGAACAGTCTAGTGGTGGGATTCCATTTTTCTCGGAGTAGCCAATGACAAGTGGAATCAGCCTAATGGGCGGATATCTTCGAGTACACCGTATCTTCACAGAAATGCTTACAGCAATTGCCAACATTGGTCAACTGACTTACCATCCTTAATGATAGTGATTGAAATAATAGGTCGCAGATTAGATACTATGCATTACCTACGTCTGGAACCATGAACGAATAATACTATTGCAGACAAGTAAGGTTTTACTTATGGAATGTTTGAAAGCATTTCTGGCCAGAACTCAATGAACTTGAGCCTACAACACCCTAACTTGGTTTATTGGATATTGAACAGTTGACATAAAAACCACTTGAAAGTTCGGCTATTAGTGGTCTCGTGTTTTTTCTCACCATCCATTTTTCGCCTCTTTTCTTGTACAAGAGGGAGTTTTAACAAGTTGGTTATTTATCTACACGAAGCCTCTGATATAGTTCAAATGGCAAACTTACAATTCTGTTATAACAAGGGATGTGCTCAGAAGTTCGATCCAGAAGAGAATTCGGAAGGTAACGGTTCCACTGGTTGTTACCAGAGTTCACAGATTCCTGTCATTACCATCCTGGAGAGCCAATCTTTCATGATGCCAAAAAAAAGTGGTCCTGTTGTAATAAGTACAGCACAGACTTTTCTGAGTTTCTAAGCATAAAGGGATGCGCTGTAGGGAAGCATAACAGTGTCCCTCCAGATAACACTGTCAAAGAAAAAAAATCTGATATTCCAACTAAAGTAAGTCATTAGTTCCCGCTAACAAGCTATAGAAATGTTTCCAGGACAGAAAGTAGTGTGATAATACCTTGGAATGTTTTAATTTTTCTCCCCATATCATTCACTGGATGAATTTTTGCAGTTTTAGGGAACACCTATTTAAGTCTTCACTGATAATAGTAGGCCGGACGATGTATAGTAAACCTCACAATTCGTGGTGTCACAATTGTCTTGTTGCTGTTTATATATCTACACCGGGTGATTACAGTACGTATTCTGGTAGGGGATCCCGCCATTCCACGAGTCGGTGCGAAAAATGAAATCCGGAATATATGCATCCATTTTAGTGTTTTTGCACAAATATCTATACTTAATTACCAATTGCTTATGTTTCGGTATATGCTATTTACCGGCAAGCCCAAAATCACAATAGATTTTGCTTGGCTAACTTATTCGTTTGTGTATCATTTCTTTAGTTAATAATTTTCGAATTTATACGTTTAATGTTTTACGTACGTTAAGGTCAGCGTAATACAAGCCGACACAACAATGCTTTTGTGTTCTGTCGCTTGTATTTTGTTCTTGGTTTCATTTTGGTCAAACCGATCATAATTCAAAAACACTAGGAAAAACTCATTAGGAAAAAAATAGGTTTGCAATATTTTAGCTCTACGTATAATAACCGAGGTTTGCTCAAGAGACATCAGTTTAAATTTTATTTGAATTAGTAGAAGTGCATGTTCATTGTTAAGTTCCTTGGGGAAGTTAACTCTGATTGTCGTGTTTGGGAGTGAAAAGATCATTTGTCTCAAGGTTTCCAGAAGAAAGCCATCAGTCTTTTTTTAATGGAGCTCTCGACACTGGACCACTAACATTTAAATCGAGGTCATGTATTTGTTATCCTATGAAATAATGTATCTGCCTTCGCCTAGATAACCAAGTAGCATTATAGTGACTATGATTCATAATCATCCACTTACGGATGAGGACTCACGCTTGTTTGAAACACTATATTCCTATCCGTACATAAATATTTCCAAACCATAAGTAGTGTTTCATATTGTGATCCTTAACCAGTATTCTTACAACCATCATAAATACGTAATTCGTCATCGTTGGAAGTAGATGACATATTTAGTTGTCCTTTCACAGTCATTCAATTTCTTACACAGAATGAAACTAAACTACACCTATCTATTTATTTCCGGACTCGTTGGTCTCAGGATTGGACGGTCTCTATTGACATTCAAGTATTTGTCTAATGTCTAATAATTTATTCAGGATCTTAGCAACATTGTCTCGTGTTTTAAATTTGATTCATTCGAAAATTTCTCATCAGTTATTTCCAATGATTTTTTTGTAGCCTATTCCTACACCTACTCCTGTAATATCAAAACCCGTTGTATCCCAAAGACCATCAAGTACCGAGCCCACACGTGATCTTCCAATCGAAGTTGCATCAAATCTTAAGTCAGCTCTGGAAGAATTATCACTAGATCCATCCTTCAAACCACTACAGAATTATACAATAGAAAATAATAATAAAGGTTGGTTTTTTCATGATTACTATTCATGTTAACTTCATATTACGTTTATTAGTTCTTAATATCGCTAAGCTTAAATAGTACTTGCAGATGATCACAACTGGAGATCACGCACAATGATAGCCATTCGTCAACCTATAATTGAGTTGAAGTGGGGCTTATATCAAAAAGTCAGCTGATTTCACATACTAACTCAATATATCTTATTATTATTTAAACATAAACATTGGTACAAGAAGGCATCAAATATGTATGCGCCACAGAAATCATTTTATTGGTGTGAGGACTGGGATACTACCCGGCCGTTCAAGACGAAACAAGTGGTTTTGTTAGGGGGCTACACCCCTAGCCTCTGACCTGCAGGTCTGATCCACAAGGCAGTGGAGCAACGTTGGAAAACGCTGTCCCATGGTAGCCGGTGACAAACAATAGGTTCATGTGTCTTGTTTCCTCGGGATCCTGGAGTCCATGTGTACCATTGGTTTGGAATTGTGGTTTTCCAACGCCCCTAAGTGGATCCTCCAAATCCACCAACTCGGTTACAGCGCCGGACATTTGGTTCTCGTCCTCTGAATTTCGTAAACAACACCCGGTCCGTGAGTAGGACTTCCCTGGTAGTGGCTGTGTGCACGTGGCCATGTGAGAGCATTTTGAGAGGGAGAGCTGACTCTCCCCACTCTACCGTACCAGGGCATTTAGAGGCACTCAATATATCTAGGTTGTGTTTCACAACTGATGATGTCATTCATTCCTTTAGATTTTGCACGAGAGTAGACCAGTTTATTAAATAGTTTCTTGCACTCACGTGAACCTACTAATCCTGATAGTCTACTGTAATTAAAATTTTATATTTAACTGTTATTTTCAGTTTTAATGTTAATTAAATTCACCGACAACCCGGATTATCTTACCATCCATAGTTGCCATATATATTTACATGATTATAATATACCCAAAAATAAAGCTATGACCTCTTCTTTCTCCATGTTAGGTAGTCCTTCAATTGGTACAAATTGCAAGAACACTGCATGCAAACAGGTAAGTCTAGGTAATATGTGTATATTTTAAAATGTTTAAATCGTATTTTTCAAAGTATACAATTTCTTATAATTATGGCAAGCTGATAAGCGAAGCTTTAACACAAATTATGACTTACAGTTAAGTTCATATTTAACAGGAATATTTCAACCACTCTTTTGGTTCCTCAGTTTTCGCGATACAAACTGTGACTTTTAATTTAGTTTTACATAACGATAAATGGATGCTGTCCAGATAAATTTGCTGAAGTATGTCAGTGATTTTATAAAGTTTCCTTACACACATTTTCTATGTTGATAGAAAAACGTCCTTCGAAAGTCATGTTTATTCATCATACAACTTATTACGCCAGTGTACTAATATTTAGATTATTTCTACGGGTGTCGTATGGCTGAGGTTTCACAAATTAAATTTATTGGACACCGTGGGATTAGTCTGTTCACGTTGAATTACAAAACTTAAGTTCTGAGTGATATTTATTTATTCGAACACATAAATATTGGTACAAAGGGGCACCGAATACATATGCGCCACATAGATCACTTGATTTGTGTATAGGCTATGGTACTGCTCATGTACCCAAACCGTTTAGTGATATGCTCAAATCTCGATAAAAGCATACTCAAGACATTATATTTGGAAGTTGTAAATCAGCTAATAAATTATAATTTCATTGATTGATCTGGTTTAAACCTCCATTACGCTTGTCAGCGCATCCTCTACCTCAGTGTTTATTTCTGGTTAACAAAGAAGTAGATTTAGAAGTTTAGTGGTGACCAAATCAATACATGATATTAGTCTATAAAATCATTAACCATTAGACCAAGCCTTATTGGAAAGTGCAGATTTCCTGATCAATAAGTGATGACCCTATGTGCTGCCATTATATTCTTTATTTCCCCTTAAATCTGATATTTTATTATTTCACGTTTCTTATTTCTGGATCGAATTCATTCTTTTCGGGCTATATTCACTATGCTCGATCTGGTTTTCTTAAATTGCATCACTCGTGGTGTAAATGAGTTGTCTGTTGCCCAACCAAATAATGAGTTTACTAAGCAGCAGTTCACTTTTTTCTACTTTACGGGTATAAAATTCGGACTAAAAATAGGTATTCGTAAATTAATAATATTAGATCACATATGTTTTTAAAACATTGCTCGCATATGTTGCGGCGATCGAATGAGTGATCCTGAGCTTAAATGCAGGGTACTAGGTAGGGGTGGCAAATCGGTTGATGTATTGAAATTTCATTGTATGCCCAACTACCTCCTGTGTTGATGCCTTTTATCGGCTGTCGTAGAGGAGGTAGGTCAGAGGAAAGCTAGTAGTGACCAAATCAAAACTTGGGATCAGTCCATAAATTCATTGACATTTAGAATGAGTCGCTTGGTATGTTCAGACTACTTGGTCAGGGTCTGCGCAATCGTTGTAACCAGTAGTTGAACATTTTAGGTTATATAGCTTGTAATTGTTTTTGATGACTGACCGATTTACCTTTATTTAATCTTCGTTTGCCATACTGAGCAGCTAACGTTTTCTTTGTAGGTTTATACAGGAACAGATTCAGATAGTGGACTCTGTCTATACCATCCCGGTGTGGCTGTATTTCACGAAGGGTAAACGCATTGCTATCTCTATTTTTTATATTTGATAAACCTTTAAACATTTACGAGACTTCTTGTACCATAAAAACTATTTTACAAGTCCTAATCAGTGAAAAATAGTACAAGTTCGTTGAAATTATAAATTGCTGAGTTCCACATCCCTTCTTCCCAATAGTTAAATGATTATAACTCCATTTTCCAGTCTTGTGACCGATTCTATAAGTGAACAGATTAATTATTGGTGATTGTTTAGAACTAGGTCAGTCAACTTGTTTATATTTGTTCGTACTAAGCAACTAAATTAGTCGTTAAAAATTGATTCTCATTATCTGATCCCAAGACTTAAATTTAAAGTGTTACACGCATGTTAAGCAGCAGTTCTTTTCAGTGTATAATCATTACTCAATAACGTATTTAAAACAACAAATATATAGAAGAACAATATTGTTTTCAATTAGATCTTCACCAAGTTTTACTTTAATATACGGTAGTATTTCATATGCATATATGAGAAATACTTAGTCATCCGAGTCAGTTTGTGCGTCAGTCACAAAGTACAACCTGTACGTATTTACATCAGTTCAAGTTGCCATAAGACAGAGATGAAGTTGTCAGGCCATATTCCAAAATGGTAGAGATAGTAACAGTGTCAGTGGTAATAAGGAAGATTGTGGGTCAAAGATACGACTCGAAAAGAATACACAAATTAACGAAATAAGAACCAAAAATGTTATGAGGAATTTAGGATCTCAGGATTTGGCAGAAGGCAAAGAATGAATGCACCCGCGCCATTGCGAAGGATTTTGAGTCATGTTATCCGAAGTCTAGTCATTGGTTACGATAAACACGCGGACCTCAAACAGGCAGTGTGTACCTATTAACATGCTTAGGTCTTATTGTCAGTGACTTTATGGACTGATGACTTGTTTACGTTTGGATGACCCTAGCCTTTTGCCAGACTGCTCCTGCACCAGAAAACACCTCCCGTCGAGGTAGGTGGTGGTTGAGTATATGTAACACACGTCCCAACCACCTCAGTTGATGTAGATGTAATAAATCATTGATCTGTTTGCCGTCTTTACTTAGTATTTTATTTCCAACCTAGGCATTGTTTACTTCGTGGTCCAAAAACACACGTAAAATGTTTTGTAAATATCTATGATTGAGTACCATCCCCCAACTGCCTTAGTACGACCAAGAGTAGAGATAGCCCGCTCTCCCTCTCGAAATTCCGCTCATCAGGCCTCCGACCAGGAATCTTCAGGCTCCTCTATCCTAGACTCTCCTCCTCCAGTTGTTTCCGATTACTATCCATTCTCTCGATGTCTACCTCCAATTCCGGACGCAGTGTGTTCTTTGGTCTACCTCTTTTCCTTTCTCCTTCAGGATTCCTAGTTTGGGCTTAATTTGTAACGCAGTTTGATCATTTTCGTAATGTGTGTTCTACCCACCTCTTATGTCCTTGCCTAATTTCCTCAGCTAGAAACTGGTTCTCTCCCACAGTATTTTGTTGTTGATGATTTTTGGTCTATGGATCTGGAGAATCATGGATCGACAACTGTATATCAATACTTATACCTGTTTGATGATAGTTTTATTAGTTCTCCAAGTTGACCGATTGATAACTTCTCATGAAACTAGATTGTTGATACAAATCTCCAGTGAAACAGATATCAGTAGTCTGAGATAGCTGAACCGGCTTTTTCATCTGATAAAATGACATGCTTATAGTCTCTAATGAATTAACACTTAGTTTAGTATATTACTATATAGGTTAACTAATTAGTTTCAGGTAATAACGCTCAAAATGAAATAATCGGTTAGTTATTGTGTGTTTTTCTTTAAGAAATATGTTTATTTTTGCTTTATTTTAGACTGAAGTATTGGACTTGTTGTAATCAGAAAACTAGTGATTTCGAAGCATTCCTTAAACAAATCGGGTGTACTACAGGTCATCATAATTGGACAGTGGAAGTGAGTTCACAATTCATATATTACTTACTTACTTACGCCTGTTACTCCTCGTCAAGGAACATAGGCCGCTCAACAGCATTCTCCATCCAACCCTGTCCTGGGCGATCCTTTCCAGCTCTTTCCAGTTGTTATTCGTTCTTTTCATATCTGCTTCTATTTACCGACGTAATGCGTTCTTTGACCTTCCTCTTCCCTTCAAGATTCCAAGTTAGCACTTTTCTTGTGATGCAGTTTAATAATTTCCGTAATGTATATCCTATCCATTTCCATCGTTTTTTCCTAATTTCTTCAGCTGGAAGCTGGTTTGTTCTCTCACACAAAAGGCTGTTGCTGATGATATCCGGTCAATGGATGTTGAGTACCTTGCGTAGACAGCTATTTATAAATACTTGTACCTTCTTGATGATGGTTGTAGTAGTCTTCCAAGTTTCAGGTGCATACAGTAAAACTGTCTTGACGTTCGTATTGAAGATTGTGACTTTGATATTGGTTGAAAGAGAGTTGTTTTGAGTTCCATGTGTGTTTCAATTGTAGGAATGTGGCCCTTGCTTCGCTAGAAAAACATGCTAACAATTCATATATATATATATATATATATATAAACTTTAGGTGGTTTTTCGTTTTACTTCAACTATTTCTTTCGCAGTAGCGATGCCTGAAAATTGTGCTCAAATTATGAAATATTAATGGTTTTCAACTTAATCGATACATAATCGACATAGAATAGAATCTTCACTTGAAAATCATCATTACAAAATGTTTGGACTATATCGTTGTTGACAGTCAAGATTGAATTGTGATTAATCTTTGTTCATGTATGTTAATTTTTTTATGCGGATTGTGACTAGCAGCAAGATCCAGAATAGATGTTTCATCCTATTTGGAATTTTCCAGCCTACTTTGCTTGCACTCTATTGTTGATGTTCAAAATTCAATCCTAAAATGTTTACAATGGGATTATTCAAACCTTTATCAATAATGATACAAATGTCATAAGCATTGAATTAATTAGTGACTACTGGAACTCATTAGTTCAGTAGATAACCAGTTGTTGTATTTAAAGTGAATGATACTGTATTAGGTTCACGTCTCAATCTAAATATCAACATTGGGATATAGGTACATACAGCTGGTGAGTCCTAAAAGAGAGTGAAATGCATATCCTGGATTCCATCGATGATCAAAATCTATCTAATATATTTCATCTAAAAAGTTTTAAGTTTGTTACCCAACTTCCATGTGAATCTTGTTTTTTTTTGTTTACTCAAGGAGAATCAATTAGAGAATTGTATTTAGACGAAAAGGACTGATCAATTTCAGTCCTAAACATCAATGGAAAGATTCAAGTAAAACAATACCAAGTGAATTAAGAGCTGTTCAGTTTTATGGAATAATAAAAACGCTTCTAAAGAATTAGTATTAATGTTTATAGACTTAATATACTACAAGGAAAACGATTGTTGAAAGTATATTACATTTATCGGGACAACATACTGTGGGTTGAATCAACGAATCATATTTAAATATGTCGAGAAACTAAGATGATCTTTTCATTTATTACCTCTTATAGATAACTGTCACATACTCAACATGGTTGAACTTCATTAGTCACTGTTTCTCAGTAGAACTCCTGAAATTACATCTCGAAGTTATTTATTAGTGAGTATAAAACTCTATACTAAAAATAATAATTCGTTTATGTTAAACTCACATTCAACGTACTCAACAATAATAATCTATTCTCAACTCATACTAGTACGAAAAATGACCAGTCTATTATGACTACTAAATGCTCAACTGGTTTGTGGTTGGCACTGGGATCCCCTAATCCTGCGACGCGTAGTGAGAACATAAAGGCTGGTGATAAAGATTTATTTGTCTATCAAAATGACATACCAATATATCATTTTTTTAGTGTAATTTACACACCGTCAATTTTGTATAAATAGAATTGAGTAATATTGAAGATCAGTTAATCAATAACTTACTATGCGAACACATATTTACCAATATTATACAGTCGATGATCTACAAGGAACAAATATAATGAATTAAGTAAGTTATATAATTCACAGAAGATTAGAGAAATAATAATTTTATGTCTCGCAATCTAATTGATTGGATCTTTGCTCATCATATCACAACATCCCCAACATTCATGAATTCAACTGTTACAATACTACAATCTCTGCAAATCCCCATTCTGATACAATGAAATACTGATCGTATAATTTTGCAGTTTTATGAATTAAGTGACTCAATAGTCTGAGGATTCATTTTCCAATCATACGATGTCTAAAACCCAATTCTAACCCTACCTACTTCAACCTGGGCAATCGTTTAGTATCGCTTAATCTCACACTTATAGAGTTTGATTCAAAATCAACTACACTGATTTATACTTGGTAACAATAATTGATTTTCAACCAAATACATCCCCATGTTCGAGTTCTATTCCATCTACTTTGATTTGAGTAATTAGTTAGTATCACCTAACATTTACAAAGTTTTATTCAAAATCAATTGCTTGTACTTATAATCTTTAAACAAGTTACTTTAATCATTTCACGTTGTGTTGTTTTTTTTTTCTTCTAAATTTTATTTAATAATAGGATGCAAAATCTACAAATGCAACATTAACTCTTCAACCAAATACAAATTGTCGTTTTGATTGGTATCAATTTGGTGGTTGTGTTACATTAGATATTTATGCTAAAAATATATGGCCTGAAACTGTTTCTATTAAAGTTAATCAAATAGTTTTACATGTTTCATTGAAATTTGGTTTAGATTATCAAACATTTGAAAGAGATTTCAATTTATACGGTGTAAGTTATCGCTTTTCTTTTCTTTTTTTCCATTTTTTTTCTTTAATCTGTTTTTATGTTTAGAGAATTCAGTGAAGAAACTTCTCTTTTCGACAAAATCATTTACTTAAGTTGTACATTCGTAGTTATAATTGTTTGGTAAGTATATTTGTCTATAGAAAGATAGAAAAGATTGCATCATAAATTGACTCGAGACTCTTATTATCAAATGAGATTATGTAATAATCAAGGGGTAAGGAGAGGGCAGAGTCAGCTCTCCCTCTCGAAATGCTCTCACATGGTCACGTGCATACAACAACTGCCAGGGAATTTCTACTCACTGACTTTTCGTGGCGGGGGTGTTGTTTACGAAATCGAGAGGACGAAAAGCGAATGTCCAGCGCCTTAACCGGATCCCAAACTAATTGTGCACATGGGCTCCGATATCCTAAAGGAACAAAAGGCGTATGAACCTATTGTTGGTCAGTGGCTACCATGGGAAAGCATCTCCTTACGTTGCTCCACTACCTTTAGGTCAAAAGCCTTGGATGTGGCCCCCTAAGGAAACCAATTGCTTCGGTTTGGGGACGCGAGCAGTATCCCAGCCGTCACATAAATCGAATGGTTTATGTGGCGCATATCTGTTTGGTATCTCGTACCAATGTTTGTGTTTGAATAAATGATAAGGAAAAAATATAAAGATGAAAATAATTTCCGGATCAAAATTATGGAAAGATAATTGTCCGATTGACAGATATGAAGTAAGTCGAAAAGCAAAGGTAATAATTTAGTAGTTGAATTCATGAATCAATTGAAGCTAGATCACCATGGAAAATTTAGAAGCATTTGGATGGTCGTTTCGTCCTATAATAGAACTCCTCAGCAGCGTGTATCCACGATCCCGCCTCATGAGATTTGAACGCAAGACCTGTCAGTCTCGCGCGCAAGCGCTTAACCACTGATCCGACATCCAACGGTGTTAATCTCTAACTTTAACTAATCCACGAAGGTGACAATCATAAAAACTAAATAATCATGAAAAATTGTTTAAAGGTAGTAGTAACTAGTAACAGTTTAAAATTACAAAACATTAATTTAAAAAATCAATAATAATCAAATAAAAAATGAAAAAACTCGAAACATGCTATAAAAGGGAATTGGGACCAAGGAAGGATATGAGAGGTTGAATGTATCGTTTTTTGCACTCAAAGTTCGGGTTTGAGTTGGTGGATTGTCAATGCTTCAGCAATGTAAAAGATTTTTTCTAGGATTCTCTTCGGTCCAATTCCTTTGACTGTGTAGATTATTTTAAGAAATGACTCCTTTGGAGCGATGTGTCCATATTTGATTAAATGCTCTTGTATTGAAATATTTATTGTTTTGCATTCTCCTTTTAAAAGCCATTTAAGGTAGTATTCTGAGATGCGTTTGGAAAGTGATCGCTCTATAGAAATCATTAAATCTGAATTCCATGTTAAGAGTACATCGTAGAAGTAGCTCTTTTAGATAATGTTTTGGGATACAAATATCAAGATCATTATTTTCAATATAGTCACACAAAAACAATTTCTGTGAGAGGAACATTTGTAAAGAGAGAAGTGACATCTAATGAAACCATTTTCCTACCATGTACATTGATATTTTTTAATTGAGTCGACAAAGTCAAAGGAATCAACAGAGTTGTATCGATTAATGTGATTTTTAACGGGTTGTAAAATATCAGCTAACCATTTAGCAACCAGGTGAAACGGAGAGTTATTTATATCAAATATATGACGTAAAGTGACATTCTTATGAACTTTTGGGAGTCCATGCAGTCTTTGTATGACGGAACCCGATGATTTAAGATGTTCATACAGGTGACAATTAATAATAAATTCATCTTCCTTAGGATTTAAATTAACATCTGTTACGTTTTCTCAATTGTATCCTGTTGAATGGTTTCTTTGGAGAATTAAACAGGATAAGTTAATATCGAATATAATTAATATGATCCGTAAGGATAATTCCTGCACCGTCGTCTGGGCGACACAACACTAAATCCTGATTTCTCCGAAGATCAGATAATTAAGATTTATGCTCTTTTGTGAATAATCGACTAATTGTAGGTATTGTGTTTACCTATTGATTACAACAGTCCTCTCTATATTCTCCTCTTACTTCTTGATTATTGTGTAACCTCATTTGATAATAAGAGTCTCGAATCAATTTATGATGTAATCTTTCCTATCTTTCTATAGACAAATATATTTACCAAACAACTATAACTATGAATGTACAACTTAAGTAAATGATTTTGTCGAAAAGAGAAGTTTCTTCACTGAACTCTATTTTTATTCAATAACATCGTTATCAATCAATTAGTTATTGAATAACGACTAATAATATTAGTGTTCGAGTTACTTAGTGTTTAATCGAATTCTAGTGAAGTTGTTAAATGTAACTGTTGATCCTAATGATTCAACAACATCACATTGACTGTGATGCGTAATGAAGCATCAGATCTTTCAAGGTAGTCGTAGTTAATATGTTATAAGATTGAGATGTTTACATTAATTGATTTGTAGAATTGATTTAGCACTAAGAAATTAACAAACATCGTTCAGGACTTCATACAGATTTGAAGTCAATCATAAATGGCTTAAATTCACTTAATTATTATGTTTTCTGCAAAGAGGTGCTGATATCCGTTTTGTAAATAACAATAGGCATATCAGGAAACCTCTAGGCCTACACATGGGCACATGGGCTCCAGTATCCTGCGGGAACAAATGGCGTATGAACCAATCGTTGGTCACCGGCTACCATGGGATTGCATCTCCTTACGATGCTCCACTGCCTTGTGGGTTAGACCTTTAGGTCAAAGGCTCGGGGAGTGGCCCCCTAAGAAAACCACCTGCTTCGGTTTGGGCACCCGGGCAGTATCACAGCCCACACACAAACGATGAACTCTATGTCTTTGGCAACTACTTTTATCGCTCCGAAAAACAAAAACAATCAATCGATTCAAATAATTGTCATTACTATTATTGTCATTATTAATACTATTATTATTACTATTATTGTCGTCATTATTATTATTATTATTATTATTATTATTATTATTATTATTATTATTTCCCACATTATTCACCCTCTTTCACACTTATACAGCGGCTCGGCTTTGGTGGAAATCCGACTGTATCTAAACGTTCTCGAGTCACTGTCCGGTTGAAAGTTGTATGTTACCATCGAATATGAGTACTGAAGCAGTTTTTCTGAAACCACGTGCGCCATTCAAACTGGCTGCCTTCAACGTTCGCACACTTATGCAGGTTGGTCAACAGATAGGGCTGGCTATGTCTTTGGAAAGTCTTAATATTGATGTTTGTTGTCTATCCGAGACCCGTATTCAAGACTCTAGCGAAGTACTACAAATTCGCTCTACATCTGTCACTTCAAAAAGCTTGTTTTACGTGCGCTTATCCGGGGACCCTGTGGCATCTTCGTCTGGTCTTGCAGGCGTTGGTGTCGCACTAAGCGCTAGAGCTGAGGCAGCACTAGTCGATTGGATCCCCATTAACAGTCGGTTATGTGCTGTTAGATTAGAAAGTTCCATCAAAGTGAGAAGAAATCGGCGTGAGAAACGATGTCTTTTCGTCATCTCCGCCTATGCCCCGACAGATTGCAGCCCGGATGCAATCAAGGATGAGTTTTACCACCAATTATCTGTTCTTCTCCAGAAAGTGCGTTCGACAGATATTGTAGTACTAGCCGGAGACTTGAATGCTCAGGTCGGGCGTCTAGGCACAGAAGAGAGTCGTTTAGGTGGCCGATGGGGACTCGTTGGTCGCAGGTCAGATAACGGGGACCGTCTACTGCAACTATGCACAGACCACAACCTGTTTCTGGCTAGCACTAACTTTCGGCACAGTCATCGCCGATGTGCCACCTGGCGTCCTCCCTCTGCATCCCAAGCCTGGACTCAGATTGATCACATCGCGATCAGCTACCGCTGGCGTGGTTGTGTAAAAGACTGCCGCTCCTTTTGGAGTACCTATCTGGACTCTGACCATGCCTTGGTCTGCGCCAATCTTGCCTTACTTTTCAGTGGACAACGAAGTGAACGCCATCAACGGATTGATGTTAGCAAGCTGGTTGCAACTTCTGTTGCAAGTAAGTATCGAACCGAGCTAGCCTCTAGGCTAGCTACCACTCCACCGAAAAGTATAGATGAGCATTGGTTGCAATTGCATGACGCCATGAAAATGGCGGGAACAGTCAGTTGTGGGTTTGCGAAACGTCCCGCTTTTATGCACTGGGTTTCTTCTGGTTCCTTACAACTCATTGAAGCCCGTCGGTCTACTCCGGGTGACCGTGAGTTTGACCATAAACGAAGGATGTTATGTAAGGAAATCGGGCAAAGCTTGCGTAAGGACCGAGAAGCCTGGTGGTCGAAGCGTGCTAATGAGCTGGAAGCAGCAGCTGCATCTGGTAATTACCGGAAGCTCTTCCAGCTCATCCGAGCCACTGGCAGCAAGAAGTCTGGTGTGAGTGAAACAATCTGCGAGGATGATGGGATGCCAATCACTAACATCCATCGACGTCTTGGACGGTGGGCAGAATTTTTCGAAGGGCAGTTCAACTGGCCTGCTGCTCCGGCAACATCAGTCAGACTGTCCTGCCCTCCATGGCCGGTGACGACTGATCCACCAAACGAGGAGGAAGTCCGCAAGGAACTCCAACTCTTGAAGCGATACAAATCACCTGGCCCAGATGACTTACCTCCAGCTCTTTTTAAAGATGGTGGTGACTTTTTGACTAAGGAATCGACGACGTTGTTCACAAAGGTTTGGGAACTAGAGAGTGTGCCAACGTCATGGAATGAGTCGATAGTTGTCCCTATCTTTAAAAAGGGTTCACGTCGTTCCTGTAACAACTATCGGGAGATAAGTCTACTTCCGATTGCGTCCAAGCTATTGGCTTCCGTCATACTTCGTAGGTTGTTCAAAACCCGAGAAAGATTGACTCGCGAGGAGCAGGCTGGTTTTCGTTCTGGTCGAGGATGTATTGATCATATCTTCACCCTCCGCCAAATGTTAGAACACCGCCATACTTATCAAAGGCCAACAATCGTAGTGTTTCTTGACATCAGGGCTGCCTTCGATTCGTTGGACAGAACTGTTCTCTGGGATTGTCTATTGAAGAAGGGTGTGCCTGAGAAGTTTATTAACATCCTAAAAGCCCTATATACAAACACCTCAGGCAGAGTGAGGGCATACAACCACCTTTCTCCATTGTTCCATTCGAGTAGTGGGGTTAGGCAGGGTTGCCCAATCTCACCATTCCTCTTCAACTTTGCCATCGATGACATTCTGGAAACAGCTCTGATGAATGTAAGTAATGGTGGTGTGGATCTGTTGCCTGGAGAAAGACTTCTCGACCTTGAGTATGCGGACGATATTGTCTTACTGTGCGATAATGCCCAAGGCATGCAATCCTCACTTAATCAGTTGGCAATCAGTGTCCGTAGGTATGGTATGTGCTTTGCACCTTCGAAGTGCAAAGTACTCCTACAAGACTGGCAGGATTCCAATCCTGTACTCACCCTGGATGGTGAACAGATAGACGTAGTCGAGAAGTTTGTGTATCTGGGTAGCTGTATAAGTGCTGGTGGGGGTGTGAGTGATGAGATCAATGCACGAATAGTGAAAGCCAGAGCGGCTTATGCCAATCTGGGCCATCTATGGCGCCTTCGTGATGTTAGTCTGGCCGTAAAAGGTCGGATCTACAACGCGTCGGTGAGAGCAGTTTTGCTCTATGCTTGTGAAACCTGGCCTCTCCGAGTTGAGGACGTTAGACGACTCTCTGTGTTCGATCATCGCTGTCTCCGAAGGATTGCTGACATTCAGTGGCAACACCATGTCAGTAATGCAGAGGTTCGGCATCGTGTGTTCGGGCACAGAGATGATAATTCAATTGGTGTCACCATCTTGAAACACCGACTTCGGTGGCTTGGACATGTTCTCCGAATGTCGTCCCAGAGAATTCCACGTCGTGCATTATTTGCCGACTCTGGGACTGGTTGGAAGAAGCGGAGAGGTGGTCAGTGCATAACATGGTGTCGTGGCATGAAAGAAAGCTGCAAAGGACTGGCGTGTGTTGGTTCTTTACGACTCCCTGGCTGGGGTCTGAGAGATGGTGCTACACAGTGGCTAGAGACGTTATCAGATATGGCTCAGAATAGAAGCCAGTGGCGATCCTGCTGTAACCTTCTTTTACTTTCTTCATAAACAGTGGTTGTGTCTCCCTAACCTGAAAGATTTCTTCCGATTGTACCTTTGCGTTCCCTGATTACTAGGACATTACCTTACACCAATCTCTTCGTTATTGTTCTCTCTTTTTTTGTTGCGCTTTTTAGCTTTTTTTTTTCTTTGTATTCCTCTCGAATTTTCATTGTTTTGTGTGGCGCATATATATTGGCGCTCCCCTGTACCAATATTCATGTGTCCAAATAAATAAATAAATAATAGGCCTACTCTATCCAGTATACAGTAGTCAAGAAAAGACCTTGAACCAACGTCGACATTAAGTTACGAATTACTTGATTTCAAAATGGAATTTGGTAGGAAATACTTAGATTATCCAATTTTCGTTAACAATAGTTAGTTTTAATCTGTAACGAAATCCATGACAATTGTTTTCCCATTCATATTTATGCACTAACCTTTGATATTATATGATTAATCATCATTGCTTTTAGTTTGCTAATTTGGTTGTATCCCAAGATCATGGTTTTTGCTATTTATACAAAGTTGTGTAATTATAATTTTGTATTGTTTGAATATCACCCTTTTTTCTGAGTTCCTAAGCTTTCGCTCTCTCTCTCTCTCTCCCATTTCACTATGGATGATTGTTAAGATATTGTAAATATGAATCACATAGATCCAGCTTTCATATTAGAAAAGTCTCCTATCTAAAACTACCTTATTTATTTATTTATTTATGCGGATGATATTGTCTTACTGTGCGATAATGCCCAAGCCATGCAATTCGCACTTAATCAGTTGACAAGCAGTGTCCGTAGGTATGATATGGGCTGTGCACCTCCGAAGTGCAAAGTACTTCTACAAGACTGGCAGGATTCTAATCCTGTACTCACCCTGGATGGTGAGCAGATAGAAGTGGTCGAGAAGTTCGTGTATCTAGGTAGCTGCATAAGTGCTGCTGATGGCGTGAGTGATGAGATCAATGCACGTATAGTGAAAACCAGAGCGGCTTATACCAATCTGGGCCATCTTAGACGCCTTCGTGATGTCAGTCTGGCTGTGAAAGGTCGAATCTACAACGCGTCGGTGAGAGCAGTTTTGCTCTATGCTTGTGGAACGTGGCCTCTCCGAGTTGAGGATGTTAGACGACTCTGTGTTTGATCATCGCTGTCTCCGAAGGATTGCTGGCATCCAGTGGCAATTACCTAAAGTGTAACTGATGATACAAAACAGAACATAATTGTTACTAACCATATAACAAATATGATTTTCTGTATTGTATTGATCTTTTTTCTCTATACTTTCAGTCTATAGATCCAAAACAATCTATTGTTAAATTAATGCCATTAAAAGCTGAAATAATTTTGAAAAAAGCTGAACCAATATCGTGGCCTACACTTGAATGTAAACTATTAGATAATAATAATAAAGCAAATAATTCAAATATGAATAACAATGAAGAAACAATAGAGAACAATTCAAAATGAAAAAAGGGATGTATTTCTATGCTTTATTACGTAACCAAAGAATATATGGTTATTACAACGATGATGTAATAAAACGAGAATGTAATCTGTGTAACTGATAAAAGTAATTCATCAATCTCTCATATATGATGTGAGTTTTTCAATTGTTAATACTGAATAATTATGAAACATTTTGTTTTTGTTTTTCTAACAAAATAAAAATGTTTGTTCGTTTTTGTTTTTCTGTAATATATATGTTAAGTGAACTGCTTCATTTATCAGCAACAACGTAGAACATCGTACGTACATACATCAGTTCGAGTGGCCACACCACATAAGCACAGAGATGCAGTGGTCGATTCAAATACAGTAGTGCTAGATGTAGTAAAATTATAAGCTGTAATCAGAAAAATTAGGGTTTGAAGATGTTATTCAAGGAGTATAATCTAGTGAAATAAATTTGGAAAGCGAAAAAAAGAAATGGACAGGAAGATTTCAGAAGATTAGAATTTGAGAGAACACAAAGAGTGGATGTACCTGCGGAATTGCAGACGATTTTGAGCCATGTCATTCAGGATCTCTAACCATCTGTTGATATCATCTCGCAGATTCCCAACCAAGTAGTCTACACCTACCAATATGACTCATTCCACTTGTTAGTGACTTCATGTATTTTAGTCATGTTTTGGTCTGGCCGCCTCTAGCTTTCTTCCAACCTACTCCTATATCATTGAACATAGCACGTCGGGGCAGTCGGTAGTTGGGCATACGTAACACGTGTCCCTGCCATCTCAACTGATAAGGTTTCACTACTTCATCAATTGTCTTTAATATAGTTTTAAAATAAGATTATATTTGCAAGTACGAACATTTACTGATATTTGTTTCATTGGAGGCTTTCATCAAAAATCCAGTTTCACGAGAAGTTATCACTCGGTCAGCTTGGAGAACTAATGAAACTATCATCAAACAGGTATAAGTATTGATATACACTTGTCGATCCAAGATTCTCCAGATCCCTAGACTAAACAACAACATACCGTGGGAGAAAATAAACCAGTTTCTAGCTGAGGAGGAAATTAGGCAAGGGTATAAAAGGTTGATAAAATACACATTAGGGAAATCATCAAACTTTATTACAAAATAAACCCTAACTCGGAATCCTGAAGGAGAAAGGAAAAGAGGTAGACCAAAGGAGACACACCAGGAGGCCACACCCCGAGCCTGAGTAGGTTGGGGATTCCTGGTCGGTAGTCTATGCTCCATGAAGGGTAAAAGGCATAAGTGGGAAAAACTAACCGAAGCACAAGAACATGTATGGGATTAACAATGTAGTTGTTAATGTGTATGGATAAATCTCAGTCATAATAATGCACAAATACATGCAAATTTAATTATCTGAATAAGCTCTTCCTTGATTAAACTTCTATGTCGATGGGATGAAATCTTTAGAAGAAAAGTGCGTTCGCCTACGAGGTCCTATGTTCAAGCCCCGTGTGTAGAGTAGTGAGTGTGCACTGCTGAGGAATCCCATAGTAGGACGAAACGACTGTCCATGTTTCTAGGTTTACAATAGTGGTCTAGCTTAGGTCGACTCGTGAATTGAACTATGAGAAAACATTTCTACTCGGCACTTTATTTATTTATTGAAACTCATAAACACTGATACAAGGGGACACCAAAATATATGGGCCGCAATAAAATGAGATTGCGAAGAGACAGAGAAATGGTGACTATAATTTTAGGAAATTAGTAGGATTTATTGTATGAGAGTGAAATAGTGATAATAGAAGATTCTGTTAAAATAATACAACCAGCAAGGATTCTTATAGCTACTCTTGAAGAAAGTTACAGCAAGATCGTTTCTAGCTTCTGTTCTGGGTTATGTCTGATAACGTCTTAAGCCACTGTGATGTATCATCTTTAGGACCCCATCATGGAGTCAGTGAGGAACAATAGATGAAAGTCCCGTGCATGGCTTTCTTTCATACTACGACACCATGTCATATTCTGACTACGTCCATTTTCTTAACCAGTCACAGCGTACACAAATAATGCATCATGTACGATTCACTGGGATGACATTCGTAGCACATGTTCAAACGACCGATGTTGGTGTTTCAAGGTGGTTACACCAATTGAATTATCGTCAACGCGCTTGAACACACGTTGCTGAACCTCTGGGTTAGTATCTTGGTGTCAGCAATCTTCCGAGGCAACGGTTATCAAACAGAGTTGTTTAGCATCCCCAGATCGGTGAAGCCAGGTTTCACAGTATTTCGTCGTTCTCGTATTTGCTAGTCATAAAATGACCATTTATTTGCACGGAGAATTATGAGCATCAATAACTAATCGGATACTTCTGGTGGCTTGATGCGATTTTTGTGTCGGTTAGATGAAATGGTTTTCGAAATCTTATGCACACTGGTAAACTGGTCCATTTAAACCAAAGGATCGCGAATGGTGATGAAATGTAGTGTATTCATTACGGAAGAAGTTAGACCTAACTATTTCGATCTGTCGAAATAATTAAAAATGAGTAAACTAAGAATAAATTTAAACACTTAAATCAATGTGACCATTATAGTTTGCTGTCTGATTCAGTCACACTCGGTTATTCAAGCCAGATGGAGAAGACAAAAACTACTGAAGAAAGATGTATTTCCGAATTAGAGTACTCACTCGTACTTATAGGTGATCATCTCACTCGGATGACTACAACTAAGTTGCTAACTTAGATAAGTGAATGGTTAATTCGCATACGATGCATCTTACCTACCTTGGTCCTTTAGATACCGTGTGAACTATCAGTAATTCTATGGAAGTGTTTGAAGAAGAGTAAGGAACTGAACTTATTAGTTACATGAAAATCCCATAGTTCATTTGAAAATTATTTCAGCTCCAAAATCAAATTAAAATATCATGTTCAATAAGTAACTCAATATAGTGCCTAGCTTATGTGGTATAAATCAGACTTTAAGAATCACATAAGCCTTGGGTGAATTGATTATACAACAACGGTGTTCCTAACATATGTATGCAGTAAGATTAGATTGGCTGATCCTTCTTAGAACACCTCTTACTAACTCCATAAATGGGTAGTTTGTTGTGACCTTTGGAAATCTAGAAAAAAATCAGTAGAAGGCAAATTAACTATTGAATTGAAAGTATGATCCATCGTACTTTTTATGAGTTCTAGAAGCAAGACAGATCCGTTAAGTTACAAGAGTTACAATTCAAATATGATTTTTAGAACATTCTTAGTGGCATCAATAGCCGCTGACATGCCTTCAATGACATAAAAAAAACTTTGAATGTATAATAACTTATTATAAGCTCTATAATTCAAACTTTCCAGATAATGAGTTCAAAAATAGTCTAGGTTACTTCAGCATTGTTCGCAATGAACTTCCCCACTGCCTGTATTTTTATACACTGCAGCATACTACTTACTAATGGTAAGTAGTTTGACATATCAAGGCATTTCTCTATCCTTCATGTAAAAGTGTATAGTATTACTTCTTAGAAAACAATTTTTTATTAAAATTAATATGATTTACATATTAATATCGGCAGTTATTTAGTGTGTCCAAATATAGTTTTAATCTACCATTCAACATGAACTTGACAAGGAAAGATAACTAAGTATAGGTTCGTATGAAGAATCCATCACAACTCTCCCTTATACATTATTCTGATCAACTTCGTCTTCTCATTGCATTATCGCAGTGTTAGACCACCATTGAAAGCTTGGAATCACTGGACGACCGTTTCGTCCTAGTAAAGAATTCCTCAGGAGTGAAAATCCATGACCACAGACGCAGAACTTTGACCCATGATTGGTCTAGCGCAAGCACTTAACCTCAAAACTACTGAACTGACATCCAACGGCGTTAAAGTCTAACATCAACCAATCCATAATGTTGCGCGACCACCTCCCATTGTCTTTGGCGAGTAATTTCCTCACATCCGACACAGGTTAGCTCCATTGGTCATGGCTTCTCGCTAGAACTCTGAAAATTAACTTTCGAAGCTATTCATTACTGAGCAGGTGATAATTTTCTGTATGAGGTTGTGGATCCGAGTTCCTCATGCGAGGTCGTGGATGGACACTATTTAGGCGTCCAGTACTAGAACGAAGCGGCCATCCAATGCTTCTAGGTTTTCAATGGTCGTCTAACACTGATCGACTCATGATTCCAATGAAACTTAACAATCTTCACAACTCCGTACTGACTATTTTTTGTTATTAGTTTACATGTATAGAATCAATCATGCCTAGTAATGTGACATGAAATGATATATTTACTTCATTCTGAAGTACTTTCCCTTTTAGGTTATATATATGTGTTAATTCTATCGAAGCGTCTAAGTAACCACAATTGAGATACGCGCAAAATCGAAGTTCCAAAACAACGATTTATCCACAAAAGCGGTTCTTTATTAAATAATACACAAAATTTAGTTACAAACCTCAACTTGTGAGGTGTCTAGGCGTTTAAACGCGTCGTTCAAGAATGAAAATAGCAAAGGCTTCGATAGTCCAAAGACAGCCGATAGCTGTGTCTAAATTTGGTAACAGTTTATGAGCAACCGAAACTCGAACCAAGAGCAAACAATATGGAAACTGCTGCATTCAAACAAATGCACAAAATTGTGGATAATCGTTACAGTAATTAAATTACAGTGATTATAATGATAAATACAATTATAAGTAAAATAAACGTTAAAGATATAGGTGAACATTCCAGAATATTACAGTACAACTTGAGTTACAACATAAGTTTGAAAATTGTTTGGCATACAGCTGCCTACTGAATGTAAATAAGTAGTATAAGACAACATACAAAGAGTAGAAAAGGAACATGTAGGAACAATGTAAGACAAACTTAACACCGCCCCCCAAAGACAGCATGTCTTTCCTTACTTTCGCTGATTAGGTATTAACGTAAAACGTTCAGAGGTGACAATGGTACAATTTACTCTAGCCACAGTCACTCTGAAAGGTCTCTCTATCCTCT